GTTTGACCATTTGTTTAAAAAATAAAAAGTTTAGCCATTTATTAAAAAAAATTGATCAAAAAACAACCATTTACATGATTTTTCCTACTTTTAAAGAGGAAATATAACAATATACTAGCTGAAAGGGATTATATTATTTTATAATTCAAATGAAGCTTAAAGTTAGAGTTGTGGTACGAAATTGTTAAATTAGGTGTTATAAAAATAATATCTATAAAAAGATAGATTTTTTAAATCTTTATTAAAAGAATATAATTATTGGGAACAATCTATAAATTTTTGGTGTGTAAATATAACCAATCTTATTTAAATTTAGTAGCAAGCTCATATTTTTACCTAGTCCATTTATATTACTTAAAATTAAGAAAACCCAGCCTACTTTAAAGATTAACGTTTTGTAGAATATTGACAGTCAATTTCACCATATACCATTTCTAAGAAGTGCTTGTTGGTTTTTACTATTTTATATCATTTCTTTTGATTCATATTGGTTTGAAGTGGTATAAAGTTTATATTGCCCTTCATCTATATCTAAATTCTCAATCCTTTAATTAATCACCGATTAACAATAGTTAATCAATTAGTAACCATATCTGGTTGTCTGGGACAAAATTGTCTTCTTATTCATTGAAAGTGATATGATTCAAACCTTTTCATAGAAGTCACCACACCACGGTATGGAGGCTAAAGAACCTAGATCTGAGCAAAGTTATTACACAACAATCACGCCCACCGTCAGCAAAAACGAAAGTGAAAGCAACCCGAACAAAGTTTCCACACCAGAGATTGGCCAAAAACCTCCTACTCCTCGCACCAGCGGAAGCCGCCGCGCCTCCACCTTCAATACCAATTGCCTCAAGATACCTGCCACCCCTCCCTTGAACCATATTGATGAGGGGGCTGAGACCTTAGAACAGCGGCGCCACCATACTCCAACACGTCAGATCTACGCCTCAATTGCCCACAAACCACACCTATCAAAGGCCTACTAGACCCACATGACCTTAACCACTGTTTCAAGGGCCGAGAGTTTGGCGACTAGCCATGGGTAGTGCCAAATTCAAGCTCTAAAAAGGGATCCCAAAATTGAATAACCGAACCACTTGAGAGAGAGAGGACTTTTAAATCAAATAAAATATTCTAATTAATATGACATTATACTATTGTGCACATAAAACGTATATGTGAACTAAATCCAAATTATATATTTCTTACATCCCTGCTTTCTTTCTCTCTTACTAATCTTGCCAAAAATAATTACAATCCCTTCAAGTTTTTGTAATTAATTATTGTCATGCCCCCCAAACGAAGTGGGTGACGTGGAGCTCGATTAGTGATTAATAAAGCAGATTCCCAAACGAGCCCCACTTAACTCCATTAAAAAATAAATAAATTACAGAATCCCGAGCCTCTGACAACACACAGAGCTCCACCCACAGGATATATGGCATTGTAAATACATGAACATGTAAATAATCAATTACAACAGACATCAACCACAGTCTAGTTAATCCAAATATTACATGAGTTTACAGAATTCTCGATTCCTTACATTTATGTCAGAGGATGAACACAGTCCTCTCTTGTTCCAACAGCAGCACAACTCAGCTACTGCGTAGCAAATATCCAGCTACTGTGCACCGCTCCTAGAATCTCCTGGGAGGGGTTAACATTTTAAAACATTGAAATGTGAGCGAAAGGCCCAGTAGGATATAATTTGAAATGACTTAAAAATAAATGAACATATAAATGTGCGAGTAAATAAATAAACGGGTAAATGAATAAATAGACATTCAGTTCCAACAGACAGCTGGAACCTCACATCATTTTTCTCAAAGGAAATAAATGTAAAATCTCCATATTACAGGCTTCAGCAAGTAATTAGTACAAATTACTTACCTAAGCAAGTGCCTCGCCTACCCGGACCGAGTTTCGGGTTCTGCCCCCGAGGATGCACTATACGCATCCTATCTAGGCTTACAACAATTGACTCTCTTACCAGTTCACAAGATCTCTTTGTTTAAGAAATCATTCATTAACTTTCTGAAATTGTTATTATGACCCCACAAACTATTCAAGCCGCGGGCCCCATGACTGGGTAAGCCATGAGGTTCCATGATTGGACAAGCTATGGATTCCATGGACAGGACAAGCCATGGATTCCATAAACTAAACAAGCCATGATTTTCGAAGAGTTTTTCTTTCGCAACCCAACCCTTTTTCTTTAAAACATTACCAATGCCAAAATTCTTTTTGAAAATTAGGCTCACAAGGAAAAGGGATAGAAAATCATACCTCGCACTATCAAACCTGTGACTAGCATTGCCTTTTTCTGGCTTCCGCTTCCTCAAGCCCCTTCAGTCTGAATCCTCAGCGATCACTGATACAAGACAACACTTTAGGACCAATTCTCATTCCTAAAGTAATCCAATCTCAATTTTCAACCAAGAATTTCCTATTAGTGTGCCCTAATCCATTTCCATGTTTCAAATTATCATTCCAAGGGTTTTCAATCTCAAATCAAGGATTAAAGATGCCAATCCATTTATCTCAAGCCCCCAAATGAAGCTAATTTGTGTTCTCCCCGAAAACATGGGTCAAAACAGCAATTTTAGGCCAAACAGGGTCAAACCCCGTGTCAACCGGTCGACCGGTGACAGAATAGTGCATTACCACCGGTCGACCGGTGGTGTGCACTCCGGTCGACCGAACAGGTCGACCGGTCAGGCCAATGCAATCCGGTCGACCGCTCTGGTCGACTGGTTACCATGTGATCCGGTCGACCGGTGGCACCAGCTGCGCGAGAGAAGCTTGCGGAAACCAGTCTAAAATCATGCAATCTCAGCCCCAAATCGAAATATTTCAAAGGAAAACCACTAGATCCGGGTTCTAGGTACTAAACAAAGTCCAAAGAACCCAAGATCTCTAATTTCTACCATGATTTACTCAAAATCCATGAAAATCCATTTTGAGCCAAAGATGGGTTTTGAAATTCGAAAATCCAAGATTCAAGAGAGGGTTTTCCAGAAGTCTTACCTTGAATCATTCTCTTGGCGTTGAAAACTTCTTTAAATCTTTCCTTGGTTCAAGATCCGTTCGATTGGGACAAAAAAGAGGAAAAGAGAAAGAGAGAGAGAGAGAGAGCACGGGAAAGGAAAGAGAAAGGAAAGAAAGAAAAGGAAAAGAAAAAGAAAAAGAAAAGAAAAGAAAGTGGACAAGTGTCAATATTTTAAAAGAGCAGTCCAGAAATGTGCCCATACACACTTCTGGGTTAAAATAAATTACTGAGAATAATTTAAATACCTTGGAACTATTTAAATTACACGTCAGAAAAATTTATTAATCAAAACTCAATTAATTAAATCAGATTAGGCACACTAATAATCTCAATTACCTTAATTAATCTCATTTAATTCTTCAAGGTGTTACAGCTCCACCCCCCTTAGGCAATTTCGTCCCCGAAATTAAGGCCTACCTCAAAGCACAAATAGATGCGGATACTGCTCTTGCATCGTCGTTTTAAGCTCCCATGTCGCTTCTTCAACTCCATGGTGCTGCCATAATACTTTTGCTAACGGGATCTCACGATGATGCAGACTCTTTATTTTCCGGTCAAGAATCTGAACTGGTGCCTCATCGTATGACGCGTCATACTGTATCGGGACTTCAAACCACTGCACTACAGCTTCTGGCTCAGGTTGACATTTCCAAAGCATGAAGACATGAAACACGTCATGCATGTGAGATAATTCAGGCGGTAAAGCCAACCGATAAGCCACCACTCCGACTCGTTGCACGATCGGGAATGGTCCCATATACCTTGGTGCAAGTTTCCCTTTCACACCAAACCGAACAACTCCCTTGCGTGGGGAAACCCTCAGTAAAATAAAGTCGCCTTCCTGGAATTCCAAAGGCCTACGCCTTCTATCAGCATAGCTTTTCTGACGACTTTGAGCTGTCAACAGTCATTCCCGAATCACGGCTATCTTCTCATTGTTCTCTTGAATGACCTTCGGTCCAGTACTTAGTCGATCCTCTGGTTCCAACCAACAAACAGGTGACCTACAAGGCCGACCATAGAGAGCCTCAAATGGTGCCATACCGATACTGGCCTGATAGCTGTTGTTGTACACAAACTCAGCAAGATGCAGGTATTTCTTCCTGTTTCCACCAAATTCCGGAATACAAGCACGAAGCATATCCTCCAGAATCTGAATTACTCTTTCAAATTGCCCATCAGTCTGAGGATGAAATGCTGTGCTAAAGTTCAAGTCTGTTCCCATGGCTTCCTGAAAACTCCTCCAATACCTTGCACTGAAGCGGGTATCACGATCGGACGTGATAGACAGTGGCACTCCGTGTAGTCTCATGATGTGCTCCAGGTACAATTCTGATAGAATCTTCTGAGAATACGTCGCACGGAACGGTATGAAGTGCTCAGACTTCATCAACCTGTCTACCACCACCTAGATGGCATCGTGCTTCAGCTCGGTTCTCGGTAGCCCCATCAGAAAATCCATAGTGATGTGCTCTCATTTCCATCCAGGGACAGGAAGAGGTTGCAACTCTCCTGCTGGCTTCTGATGCTCAGCTTTAATCCGGGGCTAAGTCACACATTTCGAGACATACTCACGAACGTCTCTTTTCATGCCTCTCCACTAGTACTGTCTTTTCAGGTCCTGGTACATCTTTGTACTTCCCAGATGTATAGCAAACTTCGATTTGTGAGCCTCTCACAGAATCGTCTTCTTTACCTCATCCGCCTTAGGAACAGTAAGGCGGTTGCGGAAATACAAGGCTCCATCCTCTCGGATTCTCCAATCCTAGAGTTGTTCTCCATTCTGGATTCGAATCCAGATTCCTTAGAGGTGTGGATCTTGCAATTGATTCTGCTTAACCCGTTGCACAATATCCGGTGTAGAGCCCAGATTATACACCGTAGCCTGGTTATAATCTTCGTAGAACTGAAGATTATACTCACTCACCACTTTAGTCCTTTTTCAATCTTCCAAAGCTACTGACGCCAGAGTCCCTGTCGTCTTCATGCTAAGGGCATCAGCCACCACATTAGCTTTTCCAGGATGATATTGCAGAGTGAAATTGTAATCTTCCATATACTCCACCCATCTCCTTTGCCTGAAATTCAAGTCTTTCTGAGTAAACAAGTACTTCAGACTTTTGTGGTCAGAAAAGACCTGAAACTTTGCTCCATAGAGATAACATCTCTATATCTTCAGAGCAAATATTACCGTTGCCAGCTCCAAATCATGAGTGGGGTAATTCCGTTCATGTGGTCTTAATTGGCGAGATGCGTACGCTACCACACGTCCCTCTTGCATTAAGACACAGCCAAGCCCACTCCCCGATGCGTCAGAATACACCTCATATGGTTCTTCATTATCAGGAATAGTCAAGACTGGTGCACTTGTCAGTCTGACCTTCAATTCCTAAAAAGTATTTTCACATTCAGCGTCCCACTGGAATTTGACTCCTTTCTTGGTCAACCGAGTCATCGGTGCAGCAATACTCGAGAAGTCTTTCACGAAACGCCGATAGTACCCTGCAAGTCTGAGGAAACTGTGAATCTCTGCTACATTCTTCGGCCTTTCCCACTGTAGCACAGTCTCAATCTTAGAAGGATCGACAGAGATTCCTTGTCCTGAAATTACATGCGCAAGAACCTTCACTCCTGTCAGCCAGAAGTCACATTTCTCCTTCTTAGCATACAACTGGTGTTCACGAAGAGTTTGAAGAACAATTCTCAAGTGCTGCTCATGTTCTTCCCAAGTCTTTGAGTAAACCAGTATGTCGTCAATGAAGACAATTACGAACTGATTAAAATACGGTCAGAAAACACGGTTTATCAAGTCCATGAATGCCGCCGGGGCATTCGTCAGCCCAAAAGGCATTACAAGAAACTCGAAGTGTCCATACCGAGTTATAAAAGCAGTCTTCAGAATGTCATCCTCCTTAATTTTCAATTGGTGGTACCCAGATCTCAAGTCAATCTTAGAGTAAAACTGTGATCCACCCAACTGATCGAATAGCTCGTCGATCCTTGGCAGTGGGTATTTGTTCTTCACAGTTACCCTATTCAATTGACGGTAGTCAATGCATAACCGAAGAGATCTGTCGTGCTTTTTCACAAATAGCACCAGTGCACCCCAAGGTGAAGTACTATTTCGAATATATCCCTTCTCTGCTATCTCTTCAAGCTACTTTCTCAACTCTTTCATCTCCGCAGATGCCATCCGATATGGAGGAATAGAGATAGGCGCCGTCCCCGGTATCAAATCAATACCGAATTCAATCTCCCGATCTGGCAGTAAACCAGGCAAATCCTCAGGAAACACATCTGCGAACTCATCCACTACAGGAATTCCCGCACTATCTCCAATTACCTCAGGTTCACCTTTCAAAGCAAGAAGCGAAGAAAAACATGCTAGATTCCTCCGTCCCCCAACACTGTACTTCAATAGTCGTTCTCCCAGGACTAGATTCATATCTGCATGATAAGAAATCACTGTTCCAGACTTAGTCATCCAAGTCACTCTCCTACAGTAACAATCAACAATTGCACCGTATTCTGACAACCAATCCATTTTGAGGACCACGTCAAATAGACTCATAAGAAGGATAATTAAGTTAGCTCTCATTTGCTCACTCCCAATCGTGATTTCACACAATCTACACACACTCAACACCTCTACACATCCCAGTGTGGAGTTTAAAGTCATCGGGACTTCTAAATTCTCAGATTTCAGTTTCAAAGTCCGAACAAAAGAACTTGATATGAACGAGTGTGTGGCACCTGTATCAAACAACACGTGAGCAAAAGAATGAGAGATTAGAATCATACCCTTAACCACCACGTTGCTGGTCTGACCTCCTGAACTGCCTCCTGCCAGGGCATAAGCTTGCCCCTGCACTTTCCCTTGCCCTTTATCACCAACATTAGGCCGTTGGGTCGCTGGCCTATATTGTTGCAGCGGAGGTGGTTGTACCGGTCTCGGCGCTTGGGGCTGATCTTGTGTATACTGAGGTGGTTGATAAGTTGGCACATGAGGGTATGGCATCTGCTGTGGCTGATAGGGTAGCATATACTGTGGTGGCCCCTCCTGACTGTATAAAGCGTCACTTTGGGCTTGTTGAGCCGGCGGCCGATTAGGACAATTCCTCCTTATATGGCCCACCTGCCCATAATAGTGACACTTGGGCCCGTATGGAGCACTTTTGTCACTTCCTGATGAACTACTACCACCGCTAATCACTCCCCCTCCAAGATGTCTCTGGTTGCGGTTCCTTCTACCACTCCGCTGGGGCCCGCCAGAAGCAAATGGTCCGCCAGAAGCTGAAACTCATCCAGCTAGCTCTTTACTTTGGTGATAGGCTATGCTATCCTGCTCCACCCTAGTAGCAGCAACCACTAAATCCCAGAAATTCCAAATTCTCAAAGCCACCAATGGTCTCCTCACAGAGTTCTTGAGGCCCTTCTCAAACTTAAGACATCTAAGGTGTTCAGATTCCACCAAAGATGGCGCAAATCGGGATAGGTCATTAAACTTGGCCTCATACTCCCTTACAAACATGTCACCTTGCAGTATATACATGAATTCCAGCACTTTTTCATCCCTATAACTCTGGGGGAAGTACTGCTCATTTAACAGTGTCTCAAATTGCTCCCAGGTCAGTCCTGCAACATCTATTCTTCTTTTGACCTGTTTCCACCAAGTATTTGCTAAGCCCTCCATCTTGTATACCGTAAATTCCACCCAGTATTCATCTGGGACTCCCATAGTACTCAAGTGCTTGACTATGGAGTCAAACTAGAACTCTGCTTCTTAGGGTCCTCCCTCAGTATTAAACGAGGGGATAGGCACAAGCCTAAATTCCCGGAAGTAACCTAGCTTCCTATCCTCAACCGGCCGCTCGTTTTGAGCTCTAGTGGCCATGTCTTGAAAGGCAGCATACTTGGCATCCAGAAATCCCAAATTCTATTGTGCCGGTTGATTAGCTGGTCTACGGTGAGGCGCCATTTCCTTTAACTGAAATAAAACTAGACTGTTCAGTGGATTACTGATGTCACACATGTATGTATAATCCTGGGGTTTCTTAACCTAGGGCTCTAATACCACTCTGTCACGCCCCCCAAATGGGGTGGGTGACGTGGAGCTCGATTAGGGATTAATAAGGCAGATTTCCAGACGAGCCCCACTTAACTCCATTAAAATATAAATAAATTACAAAATCCTGAGCCTCTGACAACACACAGGGCTCCACCCACAGGATATATGACATTGTACATACATGAACATGTAAATAATCAATTACAACAGACATCAACCACAGTCTAGTTAATCTAAATATTACATGAGTTTACAGAATTCTCGATTCCTTATATTTATGTCAGAGGATGAACACAGTCGTCTCTTGTTCCAATAGCAGCACAACTCAGCTACTGCATAGCAAATATCCAGCTACTGTACACCGCTCCTAGAATCTCCTGGGAGGGGTTAACATTTTAAAACATTGAAATGTGAGCGAAAGGCCCAGTAGGATATAATTTGAAATGACTTAAAAATAAATGAACATATAAATGTGCGAGTAAATAAATAAACGGGTAAATGAATAAATAGACATTCAGTTCCAACAGACAGTTGGAACCTCACATCATTTTTCTCAAAGGAATAAATGTAAAATCTCCATATTACAGGCTTCAGCAAGTAATTAGTACAAATTACTTACATAACCAAGTGCCTCGCCTACCCGGACTGAGTTTCAGGTTCTACCCCCGAGGATGCACTCTACGCATCCTATCTAGGCTTACAGCAATAGACTCTCTTACCAGTTCACAAGATCTCTTTGTTTAAAAAATCATTCATTAACTTTCTGAAATCATTATTATGACCCCACGAACTACTCAAGCCGCGGGCCCCATGACTGGGCAAGCCATGAGGTTCCATGACTGGACAAGCCATGGATTCCATAAACTAAACAAGCCATGGTTTTCGAAGAGTTTTTCTTTCGCAACCCAACCTCTTTTCTTTAAAACATTTCTAAGGCCAAAATTCTTTTTGAAAATCAGGCTCACAAGGAAAAGGGATAGATAATCCTACCTCGCACTATCAAACCTGGGACTTGCGTTGCCTTTTTCTGTCTTCCGCTTCCTCAAGCCCCTTCAGTCTGAATCCTCAGTGATCATTGATACAAGACAACACTTTAGGATCAATTGTCATTCCTAAAGCAATCGAATCTCAATTTCCAACCAAGAATTTCCTATTAGTGTGCCCTAATCCATTTCCATGTTTCAAATTATCATTCCAAGAGTTTTCAATCTCAAATCAATGATTAAAGATGCTAATCCATTTATCTTAAGTCCCCAAATGAAGCTAATTTAGGTTCTCCCTTAAAACAGAGGTCAAAACAACAATTTCAGGCCAAACAGGGTCAAACCCCGTGTCAACCGGTCGACCAGTGACAGAACAGTGCATTACCACTGGTCGACCGGTGGTGTGCACTCCGGTCGACCGAACAGGTCGACCAGTCAGGCCAATGCAATCCGGTTGACAGCACCGGTCGACCGGTTACCATGTGATCCAGTTGACCAGACAGGTCGACCGGTGGCACCAGCTGCGCGAGAGAAGCTCACGGAAAGCTCTCTGAAAACCTGTAATCTCAGTCCCAAATCGAAATATTTCAAAGAAAAACCACTAGATCCGGGTTCTAGGTACTAAACCAAGTCCAAAGAACCCAAGATCTCCAATTTCTACCATGATTTACTCAAAATCCATGAAAATCTATTTTGAACCAAAGATGGGTTTTGAAATTCAAAAATCCAAGATTCAAGAGAGGGTTTTTCAGAAATCTTACCTTGAATCCTTCTCTTGGCATTGAAAACTTCTTTAAATATTTCCTTGGTTCAAGATCCGTTCGATTGGGACAAAAACGGGAAAAGAGAGAAAGAGAGAGCACGGGAATGAGAGTGAAGGGAGAGATGGAGTGTGCACAGGAAAGGAAAGAGAAAGGAAAGGAAAGGAAAAGAAAAAGAAAAGGAAAAGAAAAGAAAAGAAAATGGACAAGTGTCAATATTTTAAAAGAGCAGTCTAGAAATGCGCTCATACACACTTCTGGGTTAAAATAAATTACTGAGAATAATTTAAATACCTTGGAACTATTTAAATTACACGTCAGAAACATTTATTAATCAAAACTCAATTAATTAAATCAGATTAGGCACACTAATAATCTCAATTACCTTAATTAATCTCATTTAATTCTTCAGGGTGTTACAATTATTTTCCATAAATTACATATTCTTTGGTAATCAATGGCGGGATATAATAGTAAAGTTATTATAAAGGCAATCAATTATGTATTTTTTTTAATAACAAAAGTTCTTGCCTCACTCTTTTACAAAAGTAGTAGTTTTAGTCTGTTAGTTTTTGTCTGTTAGATTTGATCCTATATAGCATTATAAGTGACACTGGTACCATAGGTCTTTTTGTATTGATCAACTAGTTTTTATCCATCCATTGTAACGTTTTAGGAAAATTCCTTTTATCCCGATGAGAATTTATCTTTATAGACACAAAAAAGTAGACCCCGCAAGTGGGGCCCACTTTTGTCGCTGATGGGGATTAATCCCTTTTAGGACAAATAGGGTTGCTCAATATTTTATATCAAATGAGTGTTTGTTGCCCCAAGTTATTAATGTGTTGAGTATGTCTTTTTCTATTGTCTCGAAATTGTGTTTGTTTTTACGTTTCATTCATTTTCATTGATGGATCCAGTCTTTGTCTGTGGTTGAATACCCTTGTATTTGGTGGTCATTTCCAACTATATTTAAATATGTATGGACTTAGTTGTTGAATGGAGTTTCTCTGTTAGGAAAAAAAAAAACTATTGCATGAATGCTTTCATAACCAGAGAAAAGAAAAAAAAATTAGTTATACGGTTATAAGCCCAAAATCATGGTCTTGTTCACTTCACAATTCAAGTTTAGAACTTGAGTTGTGTATGTGAGAGAAAAACACTGTAATAAAAAAGTTAAATTTGAATTTTTGTGTGAGAAAACACTCTAGTAGTAAAACTTGAGTTATAACTTGATTTTTGAAATGAACAACGCCTATATCTTCAAAATTAACTTTTTTTGGATTAATTATAAAAGTTACCCTTGAACTTTGACCCGTGTAACATTTTACCCCTCGCAACACTTTGTCCCTCCAATCTTGAAAATATAACACCTCTTGCCAAACTATGAATTGTTAACAAAATGCTCCTTCTATTAAATGTTTCTGACTGCATCGCCATATGCACACAAATATTGATTATTGCGAAACGGTTTGGTGCACAATTACTCTTCTATCCATGATTCTTAGATTTATATTTTTTAAAATAAATTTTAATTTTAATTTAATATGATAATAACTAAAATAAAACAATAAAACAAAATTTTAAATTTTAAATTCTAATTAATTAATGAAAAGAAAATTACTTAAAAGGATTTAATTTTTAATTTGTAGTATTTTTTAAAGAACATTTAAGATTACCAAAATATGTTAAAATTATGCGATATGAGCCCTTTTTTTGTTAAAAAACTGAATGATTGAGCATTTTTATTAGTGATTCATAATTCAGAGTGAACGTATGTTATGTTTTGAAGATTAAAAGACAGTGTTATATAGATTATAATTCAAGAGAAGTTTTTTAATTAATTTTGTTTTTTCTGTGGTGTTGAGGTGTTTATGACCTTAAAATTAATACATATCATTCAAAGGTAATAAATTACTCGTGTCAGAACTTTCGCGTGCGATTAATGAAAGTTTCGACCCCTATATTAATAGGCAATTCAAATAACATATACACACGCTTGCATTATAATTACTCTACAGAGTACTATAGTACTATCTTCTGTAACGACTTCTGCTTCACCAAATGATGCACAAGCCTTAGTCCATGTCATCAAAGCAATCGAGAAGGCTGAATAGAAGAATTGGGCGAGAAGCAAGCTTCTTGGGCGTGTGGCATCTAGGCTGATTTTCTATTTCCAGTTTTCGAAATAAGGAGCAATTTTCCTTGTTTCCTAATTTTAATTTTCCTTTTCTTTAGTTAATTAGTTGTCAGTTTTATTCTATTTCCTTATTTGGATATCAATTAGTTTCCTAATTGTAAGGCAGTTCAATTACCTAATTATTTTGTTTTCTTTTCCTTAAGGGTGTTGTACGTGTAAGGGTTGTACTCAGTCTATTTAAGGGTGTTTTAACACCCAAGCAAGGGGACAATATATTATTGAGATTGAAATAATATTTTAGGGAAAGAGTTTTCCTCTTTAATTCCTTAGAGAACTTTTCTGAACTTATCAAGAATTTCTTGTGGCGTTCAAAACCAGGCTTATCACTCTTCAAATCTTGTTCTTAATTATTCTTGAGTGTGGCGTCTATCTTAACATACCTTTGGTTCTTATCTTCTATAGATAATGGGTCAAAGTTCACCAAAAAAATATGTTCTTTGAAGATCCTAGGATTTTTAATTCCAATCTTCGTTCCGGGTTTCACTATTCTTGGTGAGGTTTATATCAGTTGGTATCAGAGCTTTGGGTTCTAAGATAGGTTTGATCTATCCTTAAATAGTGTTTTTAGCCAAAAAAAAAAAATTCTGATTGGTTGTTCTATACTTTTGGCCGAACTATTCTGGGTTATTCCTTATTTTGATTTCGTGCAAGCTTGTTATTTCCAGCATATTACAAAGCAAA